GCCCCATGGTCTCCCTGCCAGCTCCCCCTCCTGCCCCAGCCTCCTGGCTACTCCACACCCCATGGGCAGCAGCTACTTGGTCAGAGGCCTCATCTCCAAGATGCCACCATCCTGAAGAGCCTTCCTGGCCTTTTTCCTTCCTTTGTAGCCCACTGGTCCTGCTTCCTGTTTGGGGTCTGCCTGACTGTGGTGCACAAAGCCTCCCTGGGGTCGATCTGTACATTTCAACCCCTCCTGTGTTCCAAGCACCGGGAGCCTGCAGGAAATAGGCCCTGCCAGCCTTGAATAATCAGATTCAGAAAATAGAACTAAGCTGATTCAAGCACAAAGCATGGGAATGGCCACCCCAGAATGCAGACTCCAAAGGGACAGGGTCCGTGCTCCCGAGTGGGGAAGCTGAGGCTTCACTTACAGAGGCAGAAACGGCTGCAGCCAACTTGACAGCAGCTCGATTAGTCCAGGTTGCTACATTCTGTGAGGAGGAGGCATGTTCTGAGAGATTCTTATCTCTGGTGCCTCCCGGTCATCCCTGACCACTTACCGGAAAAAGCAAAAGTTGCATCTGGTGCTCCGCGACTCAGGGCATTGCCAGGCTCCCCTCAGGGTTCAGAATATCTTACAGTTCCCACAGCGTCGAGTTCAAGTTATTTAGTTTCACAGCCCTCCTCAAACAGGGTGGGGGGCAGCTGAGCACAGGGTATGCACACGGGACTCTGCCTGGCCTGGGGATGTGCGGTGTGGCCCACAGAGCTGTCCAGGCTCTGCAGGTACAGCTGGGTTGCCTGGAAAGTGGAACCTAATGCTTCTCAGGTGTGTCGAGGACCTGGCACGCCCCCCCCATCACCTCGTTGGTCACTTGAGCCCTCTCTTGACTTCTCCAGTTTTGCCAGGGATTTACCAAATTAGTCTTCCCAGAAAACAGAATTTTGGTTTAATGGATTATCTACACACTTATTCTCTATTTAATTAATTCCTACTCTTTGTTATTTTCTTGTGTCTACCTTTTTCAGTGTTTCATTTGCTTTTCCTTTCTACCTAATTTCCTGAGGTGGATGCTTAGATCATTGATTTTAGCCTTTGTTTTGTTCTCGTTTTTGTGCGGTATTTAAGACTACAGACTTTCCTCTAAGCTGTAGCTGCATCCCACACTTTGTATGTGTTATATGTTTATTAACAGTCAGTTCAGTATATTTTCTAACTTCCACTTCAATTTCTTCTTGGATTTATCATGGGTTATTTAGAAATGCATTACCTAATTTCCAAGATTTTCTAGTTAACTTTGTGATACCAGTTTTGAGTATAAGACCGCTTTGGTCAAATAATATACACTAGAGTTTGTTATCCGTGGAAGGTATCCAAGTGACCGGTGGCGAACCTGTACAGGTCTGCCACAACTTCAAATCTTGTCTCCTCGGAAGAAAGAATTTGACTGAGGGACATAAGGCAGAAGAAGAGACTGAGGCACGTTTCAGAGCAGGAATGGAAGTTCATTTGAAAAGGCTTTAGAGCGGAAAAGGAAGAAAAGCACACTTGGAAGAGACCCAAGTGGGCGCTGAGATCGAGGGCCCCGTTTATCCTGATCCTAGGACTTCCCGGGCCGGCCCGTGTCCCGTGATTCTCCCCTTAGGCTCGGCTGCCTGCATGCGCAGTGTGGGCCTTTCCCTTGGGATGTGAGGATACCCTGATACCCTGTGTGGTTAGGAAGTTGTACGCATCCCCGTCTGAGGCTTTCTTCCCTTTTCCGTTGGGGGACGTGAGGACGCCCCGTCTACTTAGGAAGTTGTACGCATCCCCATCTGAGGCTTTCTTCCCTTTTCTGTTGGGGGGACATGAGGATGCCCCGTGTACTTAGGAAGTTGTACGCATCCCCGTCTGAGGCTTTCTTCCCTTTTCTGGTGGGGGGACGTGAGGACGCCCCGTGTGCTTAGGAAGTTGTACGCATCCCCGTCTGAGGCTTTCTTCCCTTTTCTGTTGGGGGACGTGAGGACACCCCGTGTGCTTAGGAAGTTGTACGCATCCCCGTCTGAGGCTTTCTTCCCTTGTCTGGTGGGGCGCCCCCAAAAGGTGACGTTCTACCATTTTGTCTCTTAATGCACACAGTTGCTTCTCCTGGCACCTGCCTTCAGTTAACACTTGAGTGCAGCAGGTGTGGACCATCAGGAAATGCCCTCTCCCTGGCACTGGCTGCCAAGGTATCCCTTTTAGAGAGGCAATGTGGTATATGCCAGGCCACCACCCGACATTCCCAGTGGGTGGGGAGCCCTCTCCTGCCCCGCTCATGCCTGTCTAGCCACCTGTGACAGCTTCGGTTATTTGAAAAGTTGTATGTCCCAGCATTTTGGTAAATTTTCCACGTGAAGAGAAAGTGTGCTTTGTAGTTGTTATTGCAGAGTTCTGATCACGTTTTGAAAATTGTGGTGTTCAGATTTGTTATATCCTTATTGGCTTTCTGGCTGCCTATCACTAGGAAAAGTGTGTTAAAATCTCCCATGATGATGTAGATTTGAATTTGTCTAGTTTTCTTTTTGTTCTGTCAATTTTTGCTTTCTATGTTTCAAAGCTAAATTATTAAGTGCATAGTAATATAGAATTGCTATATCTTCCTAGAAACAGAGCCTCTTTTATGATAATGAAATGCATCTCTTTATTTTTAGGAATGCCTTTTGCCTTAGATCTACAGCTGTCCCTCTGTGTCCATGGGGATGGGTTCCAGGACTCCCCCACGGATACGCAAATCTGCAGTTGGTCCAGTCGCTGATATAAAATGGCACAGTAGTGGCACATAACCTACACACATGCTCCTATATACTGCAGATCATCTGTACATTACTTATAATCCATAGTACAATGAAAATGCTTATAAATAGCTGTTATATTGGGTTTTTGTTTGTACTTTTAACTTTTGTTGTAATTGCTTTTTGTTCCAATAGTTTTGATCCTTGGTGGAATCTGTGGATATGGAACCCACAGATACAGAAGGCCGACTGTGCTTCCTGTTAATGTAGCTATTCCAGTTTCCTTTTGCAAAGTTGTGTTTACACAACACATACTTGTCCATCTTACTTGGAACTTTCGGCGTTCTTATATTTGAGATACGTCTCTTGTAAAAGGCATATGTTTGATTTCACTTTTATCTTTTTATCTAGTTTGACTGTCCTTGTCTTTAAATTGGAGTAGTGTGTTTACATTTAATGCAATGTGGGCATAAATCTAGAGTATCTTACTCTTTGTTTTCTACCTGTTTGGTGAGAACAGGGAAGTGAGAGAGGAGGGGAAGGCCATGGAGGATGACTGATGGGCAGGTCCTTGCACACACCGTCTGGAAGACAGGCACACCCAGGCACTGTCCCACATGCTGAGGGACCCCCACATGCTGAGGGACCCCCACATGCTGAGGGGCCTGGGTGTTTCTCTGCCAACTCCTGTCCCTCATCGCTGAGGTTCCTCCTGGGGTGTGAACCACCTGACCCTTCTGTCCCGTCCACAGGAAGTGGGGGAACACCCCCCAGGCAGAGAGACCTGGGCAGCCACCGCCATGAATGAGAGCCGTCTGGCTGCCCCCAGGCCAGCTGTGCTCTGATGGCCAAGGATGGCGGTCCTTGCCTGTGTCCCAGCGCGGGGCTAGTTCTGGAACATTAGATCACTTCTGCTCTGCTCTCTGTGCTCCACCTGGAACTCCGACTACACGTGTGACCTTTTTACACGTTGCTATGTTTCTCACGTGATTTCTGTGTTTCGATCACGTCTTCCCTGCGTTTATTTGATGGATTTCAGTTTCCTTTTGACACTCTGTGTCCTGTGATCTACTTCCTGCCACATCAATCCTGGTTACCTCCACGGCCTGAGACATCCAAACCTTTATCTCGCGGATGTTTAATTACCTGGGGTTTTCCTCACCCTGTCCTCATTTTGTCCTTTCTCCTGGTGTGCCTGATAATTTTTTTATTAAGTAGTAGATATGATGTAGGAAATGTGCAAGGGTCGTCTGAGGCCCAGGCTGGTGTCTTCACCTCCAGAGGATTTATTTTTGTGGGAAGAGCAGGGGTGGGTCATCTGCACGCACTCAGGGGAGGGGCTGCATGAAGTCCGCCTCAGACCTTTGGGCAGCTGATCCAGCTTCTGTTTGTCCCACTCCTGGCAAAGTCCATGCTCCCTTTCCAGGTCCCCACTGAATGTCTGGGAGTTTCCCAGGCCCTTCCTCCCTGGCAATCCTCAAATTCCAGGTTTTATCTCCCTACCCTGTGCGTTGTCCGAAGCTCTCAACCTCCAAGCTCCAAGCTCATCGGCCACCAGCAGTGCCCTGAGGGGTTAGAAAAGTGTCAGGTGTCCAGTGGTCTGTGAGCTCCGCATCTGCCCAGGATGTTAGCCCTTTGAGGCTGGATTGCCTTGTCACCTCCAAAACACCTTCAAAACATGTGTCCAGCTTTTCTGGTTGTTCTCGGCTGCAGACTTGGATGTAAGGTATACAGGCAATCCCACTGCAGCCAGAGGAGGAAGCTGTCCCACATCCACACGCACAGCTCTAACCCTAAAACAGCGCTTCAGAGTCGGGGAAGAGCAACGTCCTGTTCGCTGCCCAACTCCAAGCCCTGCGTCCCGGGCAGCCACACTCGGCCCCTTCCCTGCAAGAGGGGACACTCACTCTCGATTAACCAGCTTTGCACGTTACCTGTTGGTGAAGGTGATCAGTAACTCTGTGCCTGCAGCACACACACACTACACGTCTTCCCGTTCTCCCAAGACCTCTGGAAATAATTCTTACTATAATATTCTTCAGCATATGCATTAGGACTACATAAATGTAAT